TAAATAGTGAGCTAGGTACTATTCTAACACAAATTCATCCATTCAGCAAATAGTCTTTGCGCACCTATTATGTGCTTGGCACTCTGATAGGCCCTAAGGCTGTACAATGGAGTTTCAGCTAAAGTCAGCAAAAATTATGAAGTATGAAAATCCTGTAAGTCATTCATAAAGCACAATATACACGGTTTTGTGTATAAAATACAATGTAAATGACTTTTCTCTAGGAAATTGAGCTACATCAAGGGGCAGCATGTAATAATGGAATATATACAAGTATCTGACTATTTAAAGCATTCAGACTTCAAGGGAATTATCAAATCTCTAGCTACAGGAGTATGGGTGAAGAACTTTAAATTTTCCTTCTTGCCCACAGCACTTACTTCACATTTAAGAAAGAATACATTATGGGTTTTTTTCACATTTAAATCTCAAGAATATTAATTCATGTTAATAAATTTGTTTTGATTTTGAAGTTTAAACAGTGTAGTAGTATCCAATTTGGGGGGAGGATTAGAGTTTAAAGTCATTGGGATGAATATGCTTATAATTGAAACTGTCTTGGAGTATTTACTATTGTTCATAAATTTATGGTTAGCTGGGTAAATTTTATGGTTTCCGCTGGGTTCTATATGTGATTGCAGTTAACTGTGGGTCACAAAGGCAATTCTGTTGATCTTCACTGAGTACCCTCACATAGTTGAGGGTCAAGTGCTCTAAGATGCCCTCATCTGGAAAACCTGGGTGCTCTCATCACATGGTGATGTCAGGATTCTGAGACAGACAGACTAGGAAGTCCTCACTTACACCAAATTTTATTGACCAAAGCAGTTACAAGGTTAGTGCTGCACGAGAGTGGAAGGGAACTAACAAGTTACAAAGCAAAGGAAATCATCAAAGCAATCGTTCTTCCACACCTCTAAACAGGCAAGCACCATTGGTTCTATGCCATAATGGGCGCACATACCAAGGCTGCAAAATTACTGAGGTAAAGGACCCCTTAAATTTTCTTAGAGAAGAGAGAGTGCCAACTAGACTGACTGCTTTAAAAGGAGTAAAATTATCTCTTCTGAGTCATTATATGTTCCTTTGCTACACACAGTTGAAAAGCTAGTGTGGTCTGCCTTTAAATAAAAATTATTTCTTTATTTCCTTTTTTGTTTTCATACTATTAATCTCTTTGCCTAGAAGGCCTAGGCACAATTTCTGTATAATACAGCAAACCATAGTAAATACACAGTCCTATAGCCACCAAAACAATAAGTCAAGGAAACAGCAAGTGTAAGAGATGAACATTGAAGCAGAAACCCAAGTCTCCTACTACAGAACTCCAGAGGAATTCTCTGTGAATTCACTCTGTGAAAGTGAATACACTTTCTCAAAGGAACATCTCGTGACAGCTGCCAAGAGGACTGAGTGACACAGCACTGCCATGTTTAAATATAAAATAAATGGGCAATTTGGAGGGACAAAGCTTTTCTTGAAAATAGGACAACAGCTTTTCATAGACATCAATGCCTCATATGAAAGCATTTGGAAATTTCCACGCTCTTCAAGAAAGTGGAATATCAACTGAGCAAAGGAGGATAATTATAAGGACATAAGAATAAGTTTGGGATACGGGGGCTGAGGGATCTAGGGCTAGAGAAAGTCATCCCAATCCCACCAGAGAAAGAGACTGAAGAACTTGCATTGTCATTTCATGGAAAATCCCCCAGGCGCTTTCCAAAGGGCCAGGCAACAGCAAACCAGGCATCATCTTGGGGAGCTACTACTACCCAGAAGAGCCGTATCTCATTACACTCAAGCACTTTTCTCATCCTGGAGGTGAGTTTTACCTCTTGAAACTTCCTACTGCACCATTCCTATACTGATAAATTGTAAGATGTCACACCATATAACTTCATTATCCACATACTTGCTTGAGATCAAAGCAATATAAATACTTCTTGACTAAACCATATAAAATGATAAGCCAAAGAGTATTTCTCCTAATCTTTGAATGTTTATACTCAAAGTTTGTTCTCTCCTGAATCCTAGTGGTATCATCCAAATATTTTGCCAGTGTTATTTGGCAGCAAAATTTAGTGGCCTATTTTTGGCAAAATAATTAAATTTGCCTGAATTTGGCAATGGGATTTTTATGGGCTTATTTTTTACCCACAAATAGAATGTTTTCTTTTAAATGTTATGTTGCCATAGGTAGTTTATGTTTGTAATACACAACTTCAAATGATTGCATGTAAAAGTTATACATGAAAAGTAAGTCTCTTCCATTCCACCATATCCTCTAACTACTTAGATCTCCTCCCTAGAAGGAGCAACTGTTATCAGTTTTGCTCTTCTCTGAGAGCAATTCTATGAATATTCATAAAATGGATTATATAAACCCAATTTTACACAAATAACACATCAATACACAGAACTGCATCTTGCTTTTTTACTTAAAATTATCTTGGAGATAATTATTATTATCTCACTACCTATAGAATGCCTCATTCATTTTAATAGCTATGTAATAATACATCGTATGGATGGATCATAATTTATTTTATTAGATCACTATTGGTGTACATTTAGGTTAAAATAAAAAACAGTTTAAATTAGTTACATCGCCAATGGTCATGGCGATGAGTTTCTCTTAGAACATACTCTTGGATTGGCTTTTCCCATATAATGACGAAACCCTACTCTTCTGAAGCTAGAGGGAAGTCCCTAATGAAATTTATGATTTATTTGAGGCAAACCAAAACAACTTTATGCTTGGCATTTTGCAAACATATTTTTTACTTTCTCACCTTCTCCTATTTCCTCATGCCCTTTGCTGGAAATCTATCCCTTCCTAATTTTCACAAATCGTCAGTATTCTTTTTGTTAGAATTCAACTGTCAAATTCCATTTCCTTCTCCACGATTTCCACCACGGCTCCCATCACCAGAGAGCAGGACTTGATTTTCTTCTCCCTCAATTTACTTTAGAGGCATATTTGTAGTTTTGTGTCATCTTGAATTATGGTTACATAAGTATTAACGCATGCCTCATCTCCTTTGCTAGATTGCACACACATTGAGGGTAGTGATGTATAAAACATAGGGCTGTCATTCACAGGACTATCAGAGGGCCTTGCATATATTTGTGCATAATAAAGATGCGTTGCTTAAATATATCCTCAGTGTGTGTTTCTATTGGATTCTGTTTAATTATAATAGGACACTAAATTAGAAGTTAGTAACTATGAGCCCTACTCCTGGCTCTGAAATGGCTATTAGGTATATATTGGATGAATTATTTAAACTCTTAAAGCTTTTGTATTTTAAAATGGAAATAAAATATCTGGATTGTCTATATCACTGGCTTGTTAAGAGAATCAAATGAAATAGTGGTTTCATAACAAAATTTCACCATTAGAAAAAACTTCAGGGGGCCGGCCCCGTGCCTTAGCGATTAAGTGTGCGTGCTCTGCTACTGGTGGCCCGGGGTTCGGATCCTGGGCGCGCACCAATGCACCGCTCATCCGGCTATGCTGAGGCGGCATCCCACATACGGCAACTAGAAGGATCTGCAACTACGACATACAACTATCTACTGGGGCTTTGGGGAGAAAAAGGAGGAGGACTGGCAATAGATGTTAGCTCAGGGCCAGTCTTCCTCAGCAAAAAGAGGAGGATTGGCATGGATTTTAGCCCAGGGCTGATCTTCCTCAGAAAAAAAAAAAAAAAGAAAAAACTTCACAGTTCTCATAGTCCAATCACCTATCCATTGCTCAAAATCTTTGTATATCAACATCTCTGTAAGTAAACTATAAACTTATACATGAAAATTTCCAGAGGCATAGAAATCTCCATCCAATGTAGAAGCCCATTTTATGTTTGTACAGCTCTGAATATTATTAATAAAAGTGGCCATACAGTAAAATTCATATTATGCCATTTGATAATGAAAAGCTTGCTATATCTAATTGGTGATTGGTTACCAACCTCTGAAGTAGGCTCACTCTGGTCATTTCATTAATTTCCCAATAACTCAACTCCACATTTTACAGGATTGGCTTGTTTGGACCACATTAATAGTATTATTGCAGAATTTTTAAAAGTCTCAACTAATCCTCACAATGATTCAATGAGCTATAAAAAGTATATTGTACCTTCTGTGGTTTTCTATAGTGCTTAGTACATGCAGTATGTTGTCCTGGAAAGAGTGTTGCGTAACTAGTGAGTCTCACCATTTGAGTCACTTAACCTCTGTATGTCAAACTGAACCTATCCCAAATAGCCTTGGTTGAGAACTAATAAATGATGTATACAAAAGCATTTTAAAAGCACCATAAACCATAAAAAGAGCTATTATTATTATTAATTGTTACAAAACCTGTCATGTTTGCCTTCCTCACTACACTCTGAGCATAAAGAAACAATAAATTTCAAAGCAATGTTGAATTATTAAAACTTACGTGTCCTGAGTATGTTCTATACAAGGATAAAATTAATTCATACATATTGCCATTTCAGATTTAACTATACTTCCTGTTGAAAAATAGTTGTAAGACTAAACCGTTTAGTAATCTTCTATCATAGCATATCTGAGCCAGACTGGCTGCCTTCAGACCTCATGTGCATTTATGTGTACTTCTCTTTAACTATCAGAAAGGATAGGCAGTTGGAGCAACCTTAAATAAATGTTTAAAATATGAGGTGTTCAATGAAGATCTAGAAAACTTAAAAATCTCTACCATCATTATAGCAGAAGTACAAATAATGTAGTACATAATCCAAAGAAAATTTCCATTTTGCCAAATGATGGCCACATAAACACTCATATTGGCTTAAATCTATGTCTCTCTAGACATCTTCCACCTAGTCTCTTCTTATGTTATGGGTATAACTGGGCAACTCAAAGGATCCCAAATAATTAAAAATATTTTAAGCTTCTAAAATCTGAAATTTTAACTGAGAAGCTGTTGAGTGCATAGTATAATATACTCAATGGATGTAAAGGAAACTTACCTTCTGTGTGCACAGCTGACACATAGGTCCAGTTGTACCTCTTCACTATGTCCACCATGGCCCGTGCCTGCTGGGCATCTGAAGGCACAACCCTCATGAAGTACTTGAACAGAGTCTTGTCACTCAGATCCATGCTTGTTGCTGAGTAAGCAATCTGAGGTATGTTGAAAAGCTGGAGCAAGTTCTGGACCTGAATGGCCACAGAACTGGAGCCAGGCCCAATGACCCCTACTATGGGCTTCTTGGAGCGGAAAGAAGAGGAAGAGCCATCCACACAGCGCACCAAACCTTCTTCTTCTTCTGAAGAAATGAGAGAGTCCCTTATGAACTCAATGCTCTGCTCTAGGGCCACAGCCGAGTGCCAGCAGGAATCCCTTATCTCACAGCCCAGTGTGATGTTGGGCAAAAGCGTGGGGTCTGAGTTGATTCTTTCCAGGGTGTGCAGCATGGCCTCCACTCTCTGAATGCCATACTGTTCACGAACTGCCCCACACTTCCTCTCATGAACTTTGTCCACGGTGGGCTGATGGTGGACAGAAAAGAGAGCTCCAATAATGATGTCACCTGGCATGTGAGCCACCACCCTCCTCTCACTGGACTGTGCACTCCCACGGACATCTTCTTTCAAAAGCAGGACTGACAGAATCAACAGAAGGACCATTTTAGGAAAGGAGTTCAAGCTAATAAAGATAGCATGGTGGGGAAAATTTAGGAGAGTTCTGATAGATAGAGCTATGTCAAACGATGTCCTACGTTGAGTGGCAAACCAAGGAATTAGCCAGTAATTTAGATGTGCTCTTTAAAGGACCAACATGTCCCCAGGTACCATATAGTTAGATGCATCCATGTGGTCATGATCTTCAAAACCTGGAAAAAAAATAGCATGGGTATTTAACAACATAAGTGCAACTAGTTTGGGAAGCTCTAATGGTCTATTGCTAGTGGAGAAAAAGAGGGTTTTGAGGATGTAAGTTATCTACATCCAATTATCTTTCTGACTCTCTTTGGTCTGACTCTTTTCTGATCCAGTGATTTGCTGAAGCAGCTGATACAGCTTCTTGTTCCTGCTCTGCTTAGATTAAGATTTTTTTCATTTGTTCATCTGGAGTACACAAAACCAAGTCTTACATGTGGCAGACCAAACTATACTCTCATATGAAGGTGAAAGAAAGCATGGTAAAAGCAAAACTATGCCATGAAAAGAAAACTTCAGGGTGTATGCACCTTAAAATATTAAACGTTGGTGATCTCTTGGTTATGGTATTTTTTGTTTTAGAAATGCTTTTTGTTCCTTTCTAAATTTTCAGCATTGAGCATTCATTAATTATGCAATTATAAAAACAAAGTTACTTTTTAAAAAAAGCCTACACACCCTCCCTTCAAATGCAATATAAAGCAAGTTTAATAATCTTCCCAATAAATAAGTATTATGTCTAGTTTCCATATAAGACAGGACAAAGACAAATGAGGTCAGGTGGATATTTCCAAGTTAAACGAACTGTAGGAGAGAAGGAAGAGGGTTGAGAGATTACAAAGTAAAATGCCCCCCAAATACATAGGCATGGTGAAATGAGCACCAATTTTTGGAGAAAAGAATATTCAGGTTCAAATTCCAGTTCTGCTATCAAGAAGTATTAGTAAATTGTTTAACCTCTCAGTACCAGAATTTCGTCACCTAAAAAAAAGGGGATAATATGTGCTAGGCTACCCTTATGGGAATCAAAATAAGATATCAACTATGCAAATATTTTGTATATTGAATAGGGCTATAAATATTCAAGACATAATCTTTTCTGTTATTAAATTTCCAAGGGCATTCTGTGGCTAGGTGGTGAGGACAGAAGATTCTCTGGCAACCCACTCGGTCCTCCAGAGTCTTCAAAGCAATTACAGAGTCTTATAATAAAATTCACAGTAATCAGTCCTCTATCCCTGATCCAGGAAAATTTTCCACATTATCAAGACTCAAAAGGCTGGAAGGATGCATGTTTGGAACTACCCTTCCAAGTAGAAACTCAGTAGAGCTATGACTATAGTCATCTATTTCAGCTTAAACTCCTGGGAAGAAGGAAATTTTGTCCCAAGTTGCCTACAGCAAATTCTAGCATCATTTGTAAAAGGGTACTGACAACTTAGTGATTTGGATTATTTAAAGGAGTGTATAAGAGACTTATTTTGTGTGTTATCATCTCTGCCAGCCAAGGATCTCAAATTGTTCTAAAATGACTAACTCCCTAAACACCACCTTTCAAAGACAGGTGATATTTCTTGAGGAATTTATGCAATTATGATGCTTCTTCAAGAATACTAATGGTTTTCAAAACTCATCAGATCTGCAGAAATTCTAGTCCAGACACAAAATGCATATAACCTGAATCACATCTAATCACTCTCATTCTCATTTTCACCATTTCCTTCCACTGTTTCCTATGGCAACAGAGAAAGGCTGCCTCAGTATAGTGCCAAACACGAAAATAAAACACCTCATCAAATAACTAGGTGTTCCAGAATAACTAGATATTTGGCAATATTTAGGGGAAAAAATCAGTTTTGGTATGGAATTTGGCATTGTAGACAAGGGGAAAGGGAACAAAGACTGATATTAATTTTCTCATTGGGAAACTATCTGACTATTCTCAGGCTTTCCCTTCACTTTGCTTAAACCAAGGACCTGGGGGCCAGTGCTTATTCTCAGGATCATGTGAATTCTATGGCAGAGAAAAAGAAAAATCTAAATGAAAAGGAATCACAATTTCTCATTAGATCCAGAATGTTGTGAGCAAACTCAATAACAAAACAGGACTCATTTTTATTACGTAAGGGCATCAAAGCAATATGAGAGACTACAAGTAGCCCACCATCTGATAAAACTAAAATATCAATCCCATGCATTTTATTAGTTAATTTTAGGCAAGCCCTATATATGGAGACATAGTATACATATTATAACACCGAAAGATTGTCTTCCTATGATAGGTTAAATTAATTATTTAACTCATTCAACAAATATCTATTAACTATTGAGTGGAAAGACTAATGTAACAAAGAAGTGCAATAACGTACATTGATAGTTACCATCATTACCTTTCATTGAGCACCCATCATGCACCAGGCATTTACTCATTAACTTATTTAACAAATATTTATGGCAGCCTACACTACGACTCTCTGCTGGGAATTAAATATTCAAGAGTGAACAGGGTATACATGTTTCCTATATTGATGGGGCTTGCAGATCAGTACTCTAAAAGGTGACCTTAGCTGGAATTTGATGAATGCAAAGAAAAATAAAATGAAGAATGAAAAGAAGTCAGTCATGTGAAAAGCGTGATTAAAGCATAAAAATGGGAGGGATCATGGTACAAGATGAGGTTGGAAAGATAAAAAGGGCCAGACCATGTAGGATCTTGTAGGTTCTTAAAAGGAATTTGGATGTTGAGTGCAACAGAAAGCCATTGAGGAGATGTAAAGAAATGATTGGCACAATCCAATCTTAGAAAAGATTGTTGTAGCTGCTCATTGTTCTAGTTAATGGGCTGGAGAAATCTGATTAGGAGACACATAATAATCTAGGTAAGGAATGATAGAGGCTTGGCTATGACTGGTGAAAGCAGATATGGAGAGAAGTAGACACAATCAGATATATTTTGTAAGTAGAATCAACTGGACTTACTGATGGACTGGATGTGGGTAGTAATGTACAGAGGAATCTGGGTCTACTCCCAGGTTTCGAGTCTGAAAAACTAGTGTATTTTGGTACCATTAAAAGAAGTGGGATAGACTTATACAAAAACAGATGAGGGGCAGAGGAAAACTTAAGGATTTTCTTTTGAACATGTTAAAGTTGAGATGCTTTTGAAGCATCCAGGTAAAGATGTCAATCAGGAAGGTGGATATGTAAGCCTGGACCTAGAGGAGCGTTTTGGGTTAGACATGTAAATTGAGGGTCACCAATATATAAAATCTTTGGAATGAATACACTCTCCTGGAGAGCAAGTATGAATAAAGAAAAGGTGGAGCTGAGAAGTAAGCCCAACAGAGAGGTCAGGTTGTGGAAAAGCCAGCTAAGGAGACAGAGGCAAGCCAGAAAGCAAAGAGAAAATAAGAACATGTGATATCAGAGAAGCCAAAAGAGAATGTCCTAGGCACTTTATATTTATGGACACACACAAGGCTTTCACGTCGCAGAGAAAAAATACATCCCGTTACCATAATATATCATAGATATATTCTATGTGCATTTTGTGTCTGTGTCTGTTATTTTACAAACGATGTAATAGTATTTGATGAGTTAAAAACTAGCCAATCACTTAGAAAGTGATGGAGCTAGAATACATGTCTATGCCCAGTGACTCCATAACATACTCTTTTCATTATCCTTTGCTGCCTCACCACCCCTTCCTACAAAGAGAGATATTTCTAAAGCCCATGAAAAACGAGAAGGGCCACCTAAACACAGTTTGAACTTCCCAGGGATATAGAATCTTATAGGAGTTGCTTTGCAAACTAGAGGGTGAAGAACATTCCAGGAAAACAGATGATTCAGCACATTGAAGGTACAAATGTGTTTGATTATCTAGTACAAGTGTATTTATAATGCTCTGGAATCTCCCACTAGATTATGGTCTGCCATATTATAAACTACAGACTTCTTCATAATCTGCCTTAGATACATACAATGGCTATATTTTATTGATATTAGCTGTGAAGCTCAGATACCTGGGAAGCATATTTTGAAATAAAATTATAACTTAGAAATTTGACAGAATCGTGCTACAACTCATCTTATTATAAGGTGAAACAAGTTATCCCATTGGTCCCAAAATATAAGAACTTAATATATTAATATAGTATAAATTCCAAATAGACCAGTAGGGTATACACGAGCTGTATCCACATCACTCATTTGTCAACTAAGTGTTTACTGAATAACTGTTGTGAAGCAAGCACTCTTCTAAGCATTGGGGATTCCATCATGGACAAAACAGACATAAATTCACACCCATAGAGCCTATAATCTAAGGGGGGTTGTCAGACAATAAAGAACATAAGGAAGTAAAATATTGTATACTACACAGTAATAAAAGTTAAAGAGAAACATAAAGCAGAGAAGGAAGATAGAAAGTGTCAGATTTGTGGGAAATTTTTAAAGATTTTTTTTTT